TTGTTGTGTATCGACGTTAGTATATATATATATATATATATATATTATATATATATATAAATGCGCACTATTGCACACACGCAGTTCTATCAGAGAAGCAGCTCTGTAAAGCAGGAGTTAGGTCCGTAATGTGGTGCAAAATGACTCTATTTATTTGTCTGACAGGCAGCGATGGCATTGGATTTGCGAGCAATATGCAGGTTGTGTATTCTTCGTATTTGCTACCCGCACCCCTTATGTGGGCAGTGCATCGATCGGCAGTAGAAATAAGATAGGGAGCGAGTGAATAGGAAAAGAGAGAAGAGCAAGGGATAAGGAGATAGGGCGAAAGAGAAAAGGAGAGGGAACAGAGGAAGCGACAGAGAGGGAAAGAGAAAAAGACAGAGAGAGGGGGAGAGAGAGAAATAGACAGAGAGAGAGGGAGAGCGAGAAAGAGAGAGGACGGTCGGGGGTGACCGATATCATTTAATGTATTATATTGGTCCCTTTGAACTACTCGTGGCGGCAGAAACTCAGAATAGTAATACTTAAACCTGCAAGCTGCATTACTGCTTGGAATCCATCAATGATCCGTCGTCTCAGCTCGATATGAAACTATATGAGTTTTCTCAAGAGCTCAATAACCGAGTCTGTTCTCGGAGAGAAATTCGCTGCTGTATTTTGAGTGGTGGAATCGAATCGAATCTTCGCGTCGGTCCGATCGGTCGCTCCTCCCCGGCGAGCGACTACAGACGCTATACATAGTAACATAGTATCTAGCATGCGGCAATACGGTCACAACTGTGAGCAATATGTCTGCCTCTCAACTAAGCTAACACTGATGTGTATGTACCGTAGTATGTGCGAAGTTTGTGCGTGCGTGCGCATGTGTGTGTGTGTGTGCGTGTGTGCGTGCGTGTGTGTGTGCGTGCGTGCGTATGTGTGTGTGCGTGCGTGCGTGCGTGTGTGCGTGTTTGCGACCACGCGTGTGTGCACGAACACATGTAACATAACAGACTAATCGCATTGCCATCAAATCTGAGCCGTGGAGAGCAATTTGGGGGAAAACCTCGGCATGCCCAACACTTTCACGTCAAACAGAATCCCCGGGGAAAGCAAAACACGAACATCTTTACTCTTAGCAAACCTCCTACTTCTCGCACTTTTACCTACAACGAATGAACAAGATAGGTGTGATAATGTTTTACTATTGATGTTACGTGTCACCGACGCACGATGATGTAAAACTATACTGTTACACAATGGGAATTACATGCAGTTTCATGCGGTAATATTACACGGAAAACTCGCTCGTGAATGCAAATATAGCGTTGATTAGTAAATCCAGGGGAATTATCAGCGAGCGAATGATGTTCATCCATCAACGATGTAATCCCCGATCGTTAATTCATCGCTAATTCGTGAGCTAATAATGCGCTCAAATTATTACTTATTCCTCGTCATGTACTACTCGCCGTGAAATTGCGTTGTTTGTTAAAAGCTCAACATAGGATTACAGTCATGTCTGTGCATCACCGAGTCCGTTATTGAGAATGACAGAGATATAACCGGATCTACACATGTTCACATTAAGCATTATAGACGCCAAGAAAACATTTTGAAATTAGAAATGGAGATCTAGTATCAGTTATTAATTGATGATACGTATCGCTTTTGACATTCTGCCGTACGCGGCTACCGGAGTATAATAGAGCTGTTTGTATTTAATAAAACTAATATATATATATATATTTATATATATATCTATATCTATATATCTATATATAGATATATATATATATATATATATACATATTCATAAAATACCTGGCATAATAAACTACTATATATAATCGTCGTCGTTGTTTGCAGTCGTCACTGGAAATGTTTGCTGCTTTCATGGTTCATTCGCAACATCATTACATAATGATATTCACGGTTAATCCAAAAGTTGAGCACAAGCTATTGCATACACACACACACACACACACGCACGCACGCACACACACACACACACACACACACACACACACACACACACACACACACACACACACACACACACACACACACATATATATATATATATATATATATAT